GGTTTGTTCAAGCCCTGAGTGGGTGGGGTGGCTGTGGAACATGCTATAAAGAAGCATTAGGAGCTGAGCAAACACCACCAGCTGGAGCAGCGGGAGGAGAAGCGACATGGCAGGGCTTCACTTCCGCTCCGTCCTGGTGACGGGGGCCAACCGGGGCATCGGCCTGGGGCTGGTCCAGCATTTCCTGGAGATGCCAAAGCCACCCACGTGGGTCTTTGCGGGTTGCCGGGACCCCAAGGGCCAGCGGGCGCAGGTGAGGCCGGGCTGGGAGGCAGTGGGTGGTGCTGGGGATGGGGGCGCCAGGTGCCGAGGCGGCGGGTGGGAGCAGGGAGGGGGTTTGCCAAGGGCTGGGGCTGTAGCCGGGCACGCGCGGCACAGGGAGCCAGGCTGGGACAGCCCCGGGATCAGCGGTGGCTGGCGTGTGCGGAGGGGACGGTGGCCCGTGGCCCGTGGGGGAGGCAGGGAGCCCCGTGCCAGGGCAGTGGGAGCAGGGTGCTGGGCGTGAGGCCGGGCAGGGACGGAGCTGGAGCCCGAGGGGCTTTGCCCGGGAAAGGCTGAGCCTCTGCAGGGGCAGCCCCTCCTGCCCCTCCGTGCTCAGGCAGCCCCTCTCTTGCAGGAGTTACAGAATTTGGCTTCCAAGCACCCCAACCTGATCATCGTCCCGCTCGGTAGGTGCCCCGAGGTGGGCTCCCTCGCCCTGGTTGCCCTGGCGTGTGCCCGGGCGCTGTGCACACCCCGGGAGCCCCGTGCCGGGAGGGAGCCGTGCCCACGGGCCAGTGCCTGCGGGGACACCGGGTGCTGCCGTCCCTGGGGGGACACAGGGGACTCCAATCCACCATGGGGACGCTGAGCTCCCCCGTGTCGGCCCTGCAGAAGTCAGTGACCCTGCCAGCATCAAGGCGGCTGCAGCCAGAGTCGGGGAGCAGCTGGGGGGCTCGGGACTGAACCTCCTCATCAACAACGCTGGAATTGCAAAGCAAGTATCACTTGAAAACGAGACGCTGGAGAACATGACCCAGGTTTACACCACCAACACGGTTGGGCCCCTGCTGGTGGGCCAGGTGAGATCCTCACCCGAGCAGTGCTGTCCCCAGGGAGGTGACAGGGTCCGGCCTCTGTTCTGGTGCCGACGGGCTCTTTCCTGACAAGAAGGTCATGGAGCCTCTGGCTGGAGCTCAGGAGATGGAGCCTGGTGGGCTGCAGCAGCGGGAAGAGGCGGGAGGATGCTCTGGTCCTGGTGCCAATGTTGCCCGCTGTGACAGGAGCTGGTCCTCTTCCCTGTACCATCTCCATGTGTGGCCCTGTCTCCTCTTCCTCCTCACAGGCGTTCCTGCCCTTGCTGAAGAAGGCTGCCCAGGGGAGCCCAGGCTCAGCGCTGAGCTGCAGCAAGGCAGCCATCATCAACATGTCCAGCATTGGGGGCTCCATCGCTTCTCTGTTTGGGTTTGATCTGATGCAAGTTGTCTCCTACCGCTGCAGCAAGGTACAGCCCTGCCGTGCTGGGGACGGGTTTGCTTCCCCTGCCCTGTCCCGGCCATGTCCCCTCGCAGCCACCCTTCCCCTCCCGCCGCCATCCCTCCCTCTCTCCCCGCAGGCTGCTCTCAACATGCTGACCAAGTGCCAGTCCCTGGGCTACCGGGAGCACGGCATCCTCTGCGTTGCTCTCCACCCTGGCTGGGTGCAAACCGACATGGGGAGCTCAGCTGGACACACAGTAAGAGTTTCCCTCCCAGCCCCCCTGCTGATTTCCCCAGGGAGGGAGGGAGTCGCTGCCCGCACCCCCCACCATCCCCTCCCTGCCTGCCCCATCCCTGCCCGGGCGGCTGCCCCCATCCCCTCTGCTCAGCCCCTCTGCCCGGGTCTGCCACCTTTCCCCTCATCCTCCGGGGGCTCCTCACCCTGGCCCAGCTGCTCCAGGGCAGCCCTGAGCCCGGCCTGGGGCAGGGGCTGCCTCTCCCCCTCTCCCCGCAGCCCCCCGTGACGGTGGAGGCCAGCGTGCGAGGGATGCTGAAGGTGCTCTCCTCCCTCGGCGAGAAGGACGCTGGCACCTTACTGGACTGGGAAGGGAAGGTGGTGCCCTGGTGAGACCCCAGCCTGGCCTCCTGGCAGTGGGGCCTGGGGCTGGTGCTCCCGTTGGCCCCCAGCCTCAATAAAGCCTGACCCGAGAGCCCCCGGCTCTGCTCTGCGGCCCCACTCCTTATCCTGGGCTGTGGCTGTGCCTGCAGCCACCTGCTCGCCCCACGGCTGCCACGGGGCTCCCCACCAGTGACACCCCCTGGGTGCTGTGGCACCATGGCCGCCCTCTGGGGACGTCCCCTCCAGGAGGCACCACAGATGGGGCACAGCCCCTCTCCTGGCAGTGGGGCTGCCCCAGGGACTTGGGATGTCCCGGCGCTGGGATCCCAGGGCCACACAGACACCACTTGGATAGGGTGCCCCAGGGACTGTGAGTCACAGAGGCTGGGGGTGACAGAGACAGGGTGCCCGAGGGGCTGGGAGTGCAGGGACAGGGTGCCCGAGGGGCTGGGGGTGACAGGGACAGGGTGCCCGAGGGGCTGGGGGTGAAAGGGACCAGGTGACCAAGGGACTGGGAGTGACAAGGACCGGGTGCCCATGGGGCTGGGGGTCACAGGGACAGGGTGCCCCAGGGACTGGAGGTCACAGGGGCTGGGGGTGACAGGGACAGGGTGACTGAGGAACTGGGGGTGGCAGGGACAGGGTGGCCAAGGGACTGAGGAACTGGAGGTCACAGGGACTGGCCACCCTCTCCCCTCAGTCGGGGGACACGGGGTCTCAGGGGGGAAGAAGGACACACGGAGCTTGGGCAGCAGGTACCAGGCTCGGCTGGGGCCTGCCTGTCATGGCAGCCTGTCCCGTCCCCTCCTGCTCTCTCCTCAGCCCACCTCGCCAGGACGGGGCTGCCAGGGAGGGACCCCCGAGGCCTGGAGGCCAGCTCTGGGGGTGGCCCCAGCCCCCTGGACAGGGCGGGGGGCTCGGGTGGGAAAGCAGCGGCCTCTGGAGAGGGGCCAGCACTGGCCCAGCATGGCTGGCACCTCTGTGGGGAGGGAGGGGAAGGGCTCCTGGCCCGGCCCTGGTCGCCGTTGGGGCTGGGGATGTGTGGGGATGTGACGTCCCTGTGGGTGACTGTGCTCCCCATGGGGATAACATGGGGCGCAGAAGGCCTGGCCCCACGCTGACACATCCCCGGGCTGCTGTGATGTTCTCCTTCCATGCCTTCCTGGACCCAGGGCTGGCAGGGCTGCCTTGGCCAGTGGTCTCCTCCCTGCCCTGGAGTGGCTCCAGAGCCTCCAGCCCCATGCTCACAGAGTTGCAGGATCCAGAGCGGGTCCTGGGGCCCAAGGACCAAGGGCCCACACCTTCCTGGAGAGGGAGGAGAGCTGGAGGTACAGCGGGGATCCTGCTCACCCTTCCCTGCACAGCCCAGTACCTCCTCTGTCCCCATGTCCATCTTCACCCAGCCAGGATGGGTGGCCACGCACAAGATCCCCTTCTCTTGCAGCTCCACAGCCAGGCACCTCGTCACCATGTTCTGGGCAGCCTGGAAGAGGCACCGCCATGCCATCACCATGGGTGGGAAGGAGGGGGGAGGTTTCCCAGCCAGAAAATGGGTGGGGAGGTGGAAAAAGGGCCTTTTCCCTGGGGTGAAGCATCGTCACCACCTGCCTGAAGGGCTCAGCCCCAGGTGCTGCTGTCTCCATCTCAGTGCTTGCGCTTGGGAGGACTAGGCAGGGGGTGGGTGGCCTGGGGCAGGTGGATTACACAGCAGAGCATCCCTAGCACCTCCCCTGGCACCTCACCTTGCTGGCACGGTACGGGTACATGGGGGCCTGCAGCACCCCACGGCACAGCCCGATGGAGCCCAGTTTGGTGGAGACGTTGATGACGGCGGCCCTGCTGCAGCTCAGCCCCTCCTTCCCTGCGCCCTTCGCTGCCTTCTCCAGCAGCGGCAGAAATTCCTGGCACAAAGACACCCATGTTCAGTTAATCCGTGACAAACCCAGAGCCTGAGGAGCACCCTGGAGGTCTCTGTCCCAGAGAGTGGACGAGCAGATAGACAGATACTCCTGGAAGAAGGGCAGGGTATGGGGAGGACACCCCAAGGACCGTCCAGACTCCAGCCTTTCCCTTCCCCAAGGAAGGAGGGAGCCAGCACAGGCAGCCCTGGGAGGGCAGGAGCTCCAGGATGGGAGATGCTGGGGCTGAACTGAGCTGCCTTTTGACTTCCCTGCTCCTCTGGGTGGGCAGAGGAGACCCACTGTCCTGGGTCTTGCCCCATCGGTCTGTCTCATTTGAAAAAGCCAACCAGCTGAGGTGACACTGCACATAGTGAATTCACAGAATTCATAGCATCATTGAGGTTGGAAGAGACCTATCAGATCATCAAGTCCAACCATTAACCTAACACTGCCAAAACCACCACTAACCCATGCCCCTCAGCACCACATCTGCCCGGCTTTTAAATACCTTCAGGAATAGCAACTCCACCACTTCCTGGGTAGCACCCAAAGCGTGCATCACCAGTGGAGACATGATGTGCTGGACATGCAGGGTAACTGCCTTCAGCCAGTAGGCACACTGGGCTTGCTCCACTCCATGAATCTTTCATGGGACAATCAATGAATGAGCATTGGCTTAGAGGAGGCAAGAGCAAGGCAGAGAAGGTCTGCTCCTGGCCACCTGAGGCACCACCTGCCTCATGGGACCCAGGGGAGAAGGATGAGCACAACCCATTTCCAGTGCTATACGGGGACAACGTGGAAAGACCATCTCGTGAAGCTGCCAAGCCCACCAGAGCTTGACATCCCACATCCCTCCCACGTGCTGCTCCCTCCCTCCTCACCCACCTCAGCTTCTCCTGGACTGGCTGCCCAGTAGCTCCTGGATTACGGGGCCAGGTTTCACAAGGTCAGCTGAGTTTGCCTGAAAACCCGAGTGATTTTTGCCCTTTGGCAACAGGGGCTGGCTCCCAGCCAGGAACTCTGTCCTAGAGTTTGAAGAGCTGGAGAAGTTGTTCCTGGAGCCGAGGGTTTGTTCAAGCCCTGAGTGGGTGGGGTGGCTGTGGAACATGCTATAAAGAAGCATTAGGAGCTGAGCAAACACCACCAGCCGGAGCAGCAGGAGGAGAAGCGACATGGCAGGGCTTCACGTCCGCTCCGTCCTGGTGACGGGGGCCAACCGGGGCATCGGCCTGGGGCTGGTCCAGCATTTCCTGGAGATGCCAAAGCCACCCACATGGGTCTTTGCGGGTTGCCGGGACCCCAAGGGCCAGCGGGCGCAGGTGAGGCTGGGCTGGGAGGCAGTGGGTGGTGCTGGGGACGGGGGTGCCGGGTGCCGGGGCGGCGGGAGGGAGCAGGGAGGGGGTTTGCCAAGGGCTGGGGCTGCAGCCGGGCACGCGCGGCACAGGGAGCCAGGCTGGGACAGCCCCGGGATCAGCGGTGGCTGGCGTGTGTGGAGGGGACGGTGGCCCGTGGCCCGTGGGGGAGGCAGGGAGCCCCGTGCCAGGGCAGCGGGAGCAGGGTGCTGGGCGTGAGGCCGGGCAGGGACGGAGCTGGAGCCCGAGGGGCTTTGCCCGGGAAAGGCTGAGCCTCTGCAGGGGCAGCCCCTCCTGCCCCTCCGTGCCCAGGCGGCCCCTCTCTTGCAGGAGTTACAGAATTTGGCTTCCAAGCACCCCAACCTGATCATCGTCCCACTCGGTAGGTGCCCCGAGGTGGGCTCCCTCGCTCTGGTTGCCCTGGCGTGTGCCCGGGTGCTGCCGTCCCTGGGGGGACACAGGGGACCCCAATCCACCATGGGGACGCTGAGCTCCCCCGTGTCGGCCCTGCAGAAGTCAGTGACCCTGCCAGCATCAAGGCGGCTGCAGCCAGAGTTGGGGAGCAGCTGGGGGGCTTGGGACTGAACCTCCTCATCAACAACGCTGGAATTGCAAAGCAAGCATCACTTGACAACGAGACTCTGGAAAACATGACCCAGGTTTACACCACCAACACGGTTGGGCCCCTGCTGGTTGGCCAGGTGAGATCCTTACCCCCAGAAATCCATCACAGCTCCTGTGAGTGTTCCTTCCTGAAAAGCTGCTACCCAAGCTGGGCTCTACCATGGGATGTGAAGGGAGAGTGACAGATGGTCCTGCCTCCACTCTGGGGCCCTATGGACTCTCAGTCAGTGAGAAGCTTATGGAGCCACCAGCTGGAGCTCAGGAGCAGGAGCCTGGTGGGGTACAGCAGTGGGAAAAGGAGGAAGTTCTGATGCCGATGCCAACATTGCCCATTGTAGCAGGAGCTGGTCCTCTCCTCTCTTTGCAGGCATTCCTGCCCTTGCTGAAGAAGGCTGCTCAGGGGAGCCCGGGCTCAGCGCTGAGCTGCAACAAGGCAGCCATCATCAACATGTCCAGCTCTGCTGGCTCCATTGAGGAACTCTATTTATGGAATTTAGGACATGTTGTCTCCTACCGTTGCAGCAAGGTACTGCCACACTGTGCCAGGTGTGAGACCAGACGTTTTCCTCTCCAAACAATCTTGCACACCTTCCATCCTCCCCCTCAAGTCCCTGCTCCTCTCTGCCCTGTGACTGAGCTCCCGTCAGCCACTTGATCCCTCTCACGGCACATTCCCATGCTTGGCCCCGGGTCCCACCTCAGAGGGACGTGCCAGGACGGGCCCTCAGCTGGGCTGGGCAACCATACGGGGATGGTGCAGCAGCACCCTATGCCCTGGGGCAGCTGGCTCCACCTGCCCTGCCCTGTCGCAGCTGCGGGGTCTGGCCGTGTCCCCTCGCAGCCACCCTTCCCCTCCCGCCGCCATCCCTCCCTCTCTCCCCGCAGGCTGCTCTCAACATGCTGACCAAGTGCCAGTCCCTGGGCTACCAGGAGCACGGCATCCTCTGCGTTGCTCTCCACCCTGGCTGGGTGCAAACCGACATGGGGGGCTCAGGATCACAAAAGGTAAGAGAGCATTTGGACAAGGTCTGGAAGAACCTCTTTATTTGGCAACGCAGAGTTTGCTGTAGATTGATCAGTCCCAGACACCTTGGGCTCTGGGGGAGCTCTTTGGCAGATACCCTTAGGGAAGGAGATGAGAGATGAACAACTCTTCTTGCCCTGTGGTGGCCTCTCCTCACTCAGTTCAGAGAGCCCAAACCCTGACAATGACCTGCTCCAAGGCAGACCTTAGCCAGGCCTTTGACACATGGCTGTGTTTCTTCTTCTGCCCCTGCAGCCCCCTGTGACGGTGGAGGCCAGCGTGCAAGGGATGCTGAAGGTGCTCTCCTCCCTCTCTGAGAAGGAGACCGGGGCCTTCCTGGACTGGGAGGGGAAGGTTGTGCCCTGGTGAGATGCCAGTCCAAGATCCTGACAGCAGGTCCCACCTGCACCACGTCGTGCCTGTGTCTTAATAAATTTGTGTCTGTAACTGATAACTAGCACTGTTTAAGCCTTCATCTTGGTCTCCTTCTAACTATCATTGTGAGAGTCTTCACTAGTGTTTTGAGAGAACTTCTCAGACTTATTTCTGTGTATAATTAAGCTAGGTTGGTCGAAAATTCTGATCTGCTCTGACTGGCAGCCTTGGCCATCACCCTGGCAGGACTCATCCCACAGCTCGCCCTCTAATAACCTTCTGATGCATCAGGCACTTCTTTCAGTGAACCTTTCCTTGTTTCTAAGTATGAGGACCAGCAGAGCTCTGCTCCTTGTCAGGTCCTCTATCACATATGTCAGGAAGTTACCACCAATGCCCTCTAGGAACCTCCTGGGTTGCCGATGGCCTGCTGTGTTATCCCTCCAGCAGATGTCGGGGTGGTTAAAACACCCTGTGAATACCAGAGTGTGCAAACACAAGGCTACTTCTGTCTGTAGAAGGCCTCATGCACCTGTTCCTCCTGATCAGGCAGCCTACAGCAGACACCCACTACAATGACACCCATCACAATCATCTCCTTAATCCCGACCCACAAGCTCCCTGCTGGCTTATCACCCATCCCCAGGTAGAGCTCCATGCACTTCAGCTGTTCTTCACATAGAGGGATCCCTGAGACCCACCAGTGTCCCAGGACTGGAGATGCTGTTGTATGTGCCTGTCTCCAAGCCTTCTCTCCTTCTCGTATCCCAGGAACTGGAATGTTGCTGTGTGCACAACCCCACACCAGCAGTGGTGGCACAGCCTCTCCAGTTGGGACTGATGAGCCAACCAGACCATATGGAGTGCAGAACATGAGCCCACATCTGAGGACAACCCCTGCTCCATGGCTGTCAGTGCTTCCTCATTCTCTTTAGAGAGTGGACAGGGAGATGGGGATTGCACCCTCCCCTGCCTCTTGTAGGGCAAAACCTGCCAGGATCTGGGAGAGGCTAAGGTGGAGAGGAGAGGAGCCCTTGGAACCCCCACGTGACACAATCTGGGGTCACAATGGGACATTCCATGTCAGGATAGAGCTGGAGGCCCTTGGGCAAAGTGAAAGGAGGAGGTGGAGATAGTGGAAGAGACGTTTCCTTCTCAACCTCTTGCTACAGGAATTTACCCAAAGGGAGACAAAGATGGAAAACCTGTGCAAAGATGAGTTTCCAACACTCAAGAAACTCACCTCTGCTGGTGAGGCTCACAGGAGCTATTTCCGGATGTAGTAGACAATTTCAGCTGTGAAAGTAGCTGTGGAAACATGGGGACTTTGGGTGAGGACTGGACAGGGCTGTTGGGTACAACAGCAGCCCTGTCTGATCATCTCTTCCTGGCTCAGGATCAGTTTGGCAGCCAAGTCTCCTGGGTCCTCTTCCTGAGGACCTTCCTCTGCCATTGCCTTGCTGCCCACTCCCCAGGTTGAAGCCCCTGACACCAAGGGTTGCCAATTGCCTTGCAGAGGGGATTGCCTGCCCAGAGCTCCCAGCCACGATGGCTGCGCTGAGTTGATGAACCCAGAGAGCGTTGACAGTGATCCCTGCAGGGGAGATACCTGGGGGTCCCCTGAGCCTCCGAGCCCTCTGTGGGCTCCACACCAACCTCTCACTGGTTTGGACATCTATTCCCAATTTCCTACATCTCCTGACATGTGGAGCACGTCACATGTTCTTAATTGGAGCGACAATATGTTTAATCTCACCCGTCATCTCCTTGGGCAAGAGTGTACTGAAGCTGATTTGGAGCATGACACATCTTTCGCTTGCTTTCCAGAGGTCCTCATGATTTGGGATAGCGTGTCTGAACATGTGAGACAGCATTTGGCAGAGGATATGGTGAGTCTTGCATCTTCTTCTTCCCCTGGTGAAGCCCTGAGAGCTTGCCTTGCCCAGACACCGCTGCGCCATCGAGTGCCATCGCTTCCCCATGCTGAAAGCAGAAGCAGCCGCCCAGCAGGACACTGCTGCCAACAAACATGACATAGACCAACTTCTCTGGCTGCTGCAATAAAAGTGAAAGTCCAGATGAAGTAAAAGAAAGTGTTAAGCACTTTCTGGGCCTTCTCTCATCTCCGTTGCTAGCGTGGGAAGGCCATACCCTGGTACCTCTGTAAGGGTTTGCCCCTGTTGAAAACTCCTCCCAGTACATCTAGGGGAGGGATGTCGACTGTGCCATCACTTTTCCCAATAGCTTTCTTGACCAGAGCAGAGGAGAAATAGCAAAAAACACCTGGAGTATGTGTTTTCTCCAAAGTTTCCTCAGTGTCCCATCTTGGCCTTTGTAGACTTGGGGTGGGCAAGGCACAGGGTGGCTTTCCCATGCTCTGACGAATCATTGGATACTTACAATTGTTCCTTCTTTTTATCTCCACTGTTCTCAGGGTGTCCAACTGTTAGGAATCGGGACATTCTATGTTCTCAAAGACTACATGTGCACTGTGAATGGTGAGGTTTTGCTTGTCCGGAGACCCGTGTTTCAGATGTCCAGAGTGATTGCAGATGAATGCAACCTCAGATACACTGAAGAAGATGTTCCTGGTAAGAGGACAGATTAAAACCTTTGCCTGCCCTTGCACTACCCTTGAGGCATACGCTAACCACTCTTAAGGCATGACTGAATAACTAAATATGTCCTGAGAACAACCTCAGCTTGTTCAAGCTGAACAGATCACCAAGGAGCAATTTCTTAGAAAGAACTGTTGGGTGTCCTTTCTTGATGATAGGCATTCAGCTAGAGGATCTCTTTAATTGCTTTCACACTTGGCTCCATAACATGCACAGTTATGCAATATTAGGACTACTGCTTTCGGACTGTGATTTATTTGAGCTGCCTTTCCTAAAGAAACTGAGATAAAGCTCATGCTCCACCTTGATGGTGCTGCTCATCTACTTGTAAGGGCAACAGCCTTAGGGCGAAGAGCTCCTGCTGACTCTTTCAGGCTCCCTCTAGAGCCATGTGGGTCAAAGTCACTTGTAAACAGATTAGAACCAAAGGTGGGGACAAGAGTTTGTGGAAGAACTCATGAATGGCTAAATTTAACATGACTTCTGGTCAGTGCAGGTGCAGTGTGACACGGATGATGCTGTGGGGCAGAAAGAGCTTGGGTTTGTGTTTGGAGGGGTTCTTCTCTCTCACATAACCTCATCTTCCATGTGATTGAAACATCAAATGGGTGCATGGATATGAGGGGCAGGGAGACAGAAGTATGCTGCTGTGCAGACCTGGCGTTTAGCTCCTCTGTTGTTTCTCCATGAGCCTGGCAGAGACTCAGCTGGAGCACACCGGGTGTGGGCACACTTGTGGCTGAGCGGCATGGACCTCATCCATGGGATCTGCACCCATTTCCTCTGCCCTCCCACACAGTGTTCTTCCCCCAGGCACTCCTAGAAACTACTAGCACGGGACTGTTCTGGAGCAATGTCCTGCCTGGAGCTGCTGACACGTTCTTGGAGCCTACTCTGTCCTGCTGCAGAAGTGAATTTGTTCCTCTTCTTCTGTTCTCTAGCTGATGTGACAGTCGTCCCTTTGAGGTGTGAGGAGCTCTCTGCCTGTGCCAAACTACCTTTTACAACAGTGCAATGTTGTGTATATGAGACCGTGACATCATTCTTTCGGGCTACCTGTAAAAGACAGGACACGGACTTTATCTTCAATGCCATCGGCATCCTTTCCATTCGGAACAGGAAAGTCATGATGAGATTTTTTGATGACTTTCTCCTCTATGTGGATGGCTCTGAAAAGCTGCTGAAAGCCCTTCTCAGTGTGAGTTGACCCCTTTTCCGTGCTACACCTTGTCTTTCTGGGCAGCTGTCAAAGGATGACTGAACTCGTTTATGGTCATCTGTTTGAACTCTCACGGCCACAGGGGTGGTCATGGCCTACAGAAGTGCCAACTCCATAGTGTCCTGCTGTCCTACTCAGCAGTCCAGCTGGTGTAGGAGAATCCAGGAAGAGTCACCTATATAGTTAGATCAAGGCTCTACCTAGCCCTGCATCCCACTGTCTGTCCTAGAAATTATAATTGTGAGGTTTTAGTGGGTTCAAAAGTAGACACTGTCTAGGGAAAGGCTGTAAGACACAGGGACATGTCCTTTTAATATCTGAGGGGTGCCTATAGAAGAGCTGGGGAGGGACTCCTTGCCAGGAAGGGTAATGATAGGACAAGGGGAAACGGTTTTAAATTGGAAGAAAAAAGATTCAGATTAGATATCAGGAAGAAATTTTTTACTATGAGGGTGGTGAGACACTGGAACAGGTTGCCCAGGGAAGTCGTGGATGCCCCATCCCTGGAAGTGTTCAAGGCCAGGCTGGATGTGGCCTTGAGCAACCTGCTCTGGTGGGAGGTGTCCCTGCCCAGGGCAGGGGGTTGGAACTAGATGATCTTTGAGGTCCCTTCCAACCCAAACCATTCTATGATTCTATGATTCTAAGATTCTATGATTCTATGAACTGTATGTCCCATTCTACTTCACCCCTCACAGAAAGCCAAGGTTTGGTTTCCCTGCGCGTGAAAAGCCATGGGTTGATCTAACTGCTTTTGAATCTACTTCTGGGACCACGTTTGGGATGCTGGGGCAGTGAGCACAGCAGCTTCAATTCACCACATTCCTGTTGTGTACCTGGAAGACTGCAGCTTGCACGGGCCAAGACATGGCAATGTCATTGTCCACTCTGAGCTGTGCAGCTTCTTCCTCAAAAGCTGAAGTGCTTATATTAGCCAGAGAAAACTTTGTTATAGGATGTCCAAGTGTCCATGTCTTCTCCGAGCGGAACTAAAAACTTATAAACAAGGTGAAAATGTCTCTGGAATGCTCTCACATATCGCTGTCTCTGTTTCAGAACCCAGAGAGGAGACATCTGGTGGCATCAAGCAGAGAAACTCCTGATTTTCGTGTGGGTCCTGGTGGTGTCTTTGTGTTGCCACAGTAAGTTGACTTCTCGTTGCGTGAGGAACACAGGCAACACTTTCCATAAGGTTTCCCCTGATTCATCTCTTTCTGCCGGGTGCAATTTCA